CTACTTACCCTGTATTACTCTATATGTTGCATTTCCGAGGGGGCATTTTCCCCTTGTTGCTCTTTTCCCTCATCTTGAGTGAGTTGCTGAACAATCTGAGAAAAAGATAGATGTTTTCAAAGAGAATACACCAAATAATGGTTTATTCTAAAAACAACATATTAATACAGAACAACAATCAATGTGTGAGAGTGTGATTCTTACCTTTGAACACCTTCAACACAGTCTGACACCTGTAAGACTCAAACACACATGACACATTAGGAATACACACAGAACATTAATTATTGCAACAATCATGAAATTATACTCTATGGATTTCACAATAATTGACTGCATTAGCAAAGGTAAATGTATTTTAATTAACATATGGCTGGTTTTAAAGTTTATAAGAAAAAGTAAGAAATTGAATAGAGTTGCAAGCGCTAGTTAGCTTGCTACCAGCAGATGAATGGATATTTAATATTTGCAGCTAACAATAACATTTAAACAGCCACAGTGAGAAGAAGTGAAAGTCTCTGACATTGAAGACCTGGGAAGACGTTAAGTCCATTTATTAAACAAAGCAATACATGAACATTAAACTCTCTTTCTGCAGCAGGTAACATCTGTGTGCTCCTATGGTCCCACATGGTCCCACATGGTCCCACACCTGAACTCAACTCCAACTGATGACATCACAGGTGTCTAAATGATGGGAGTGTCCCAAATATTAAAGCTGATCTCCCTGTTTTTAAACTTAGTTTACTAAGTACTGTTGTCTTTTTGCAGTTTATAAACCATTGTGAAATATACAGTAACTTTACATTTTAGAATTGAATTATTATTTTAAAACTCAAGAATCTTAACCTTTTTTTAACACATACTTTGTTGGACAGTCTGACCTAAGAATTTGAATGTGTTAAAAATAGTTTGAAATATGAAAAACAATATCATATTTTAAACTTTAACTTAAAAACTAAAAAAAGGTGTCTCTCTTTCAGCTGAGCAGTGCCAGCCGTTATTATTATAGATTCATGCACTGGCAATTCAAAATACAGATAATATACAAAATATACTTAACAAAATCCACGTATACGTGAGAAAACAACTGAGTTTCTGTCTCCAACTCTTTTCAATGTGGAAATGATACATCTATATCATAAAACTGTGCAGACTGTGTACTTACTAGAGAGGGTGATTCCAAGTAAATAAAGCAGGGCAGCGACAGAGGTACAGATTCAACGTCATATCAACGTCTGGGAAGACATTGCTTTACGTCCAGATGCACACCTTACGTCGTTTAGACGTGGAAAACAGGTCCTCGACCGAGCGACTCACGTGTCAGGCTGTAAAGCCCAAGTTATACTCGCGCGGCGCATAAGTGTGCGTCGGTTGTTTAGGGTTTTATCTATTATTTTTTCACAGTAGTCAGTAACATGCCTGGCCGTGGTGTAGCGGTTGCGTAATGAGACTTCAGTCGCAACGACGCAGGTTCTAATCTCCGTCGGAAAACTTTTGACTTTTCACTTGTTAGCAAACAATTTTTCTGTTTGGTTAAAAACGAATAAACACTCAACATAAGATTATGTAGTGGCTAATAATAAAACTTGTGAACCCATGCATTTGCATAAAATCTCAAGTGCTCACCCCTTATTTGCAAACTTGAGATTGTTAGCACAACAAATGCATACATTCACAAGTTTTATTATTAGCCACTACGTAATCCTATGTTGAGTGTTTATTAGTCTTTAACCAAACAGAAAAAAATTGTTCGTTAAAAATCAAAACAAATATGTAAAGATAATAATACACACACGTGGGCTCGAACCCACGTAACCAAGGCTGCACACATTTGCTTAACCACTACACTACCGTCAGGTACCCTGAGATTGCTTAACAGCCTATATATTGTATTGCTAGATCAAGACGTACTGCGTCGGTCGGCCGATGACCTGTTTTCAACGTCTAGGGGAGGTCGGGATTGGACGTCATATCCACGTATATGGGAGGTCATTGTTTTACGTCCAGATGCGCACCTTGCACAGACGTCGTTTGGACGTAAATAAAAGGTCACGACCGACCGACGCGATTTTGACGTGATCTGGAGGTTGAGTGGACGTCGGATGTTTAGTGGGCAGTGTTTCCTCTGGAGGAGCCCTCTGCACTGGGAGCAGTGGTCGGTGTGGCTGTGGGGGTCGGACTCTTGGACCTGGTGGGGGCCTGGGGCCTCGGTTTCGGGTCTCCTCTAGATCCTGTGTCGTCCCCTGTGGCTACAGGCGGCTCTCTGCTCCTGGTGCAGACGGCTCCTAGGATGACGCTTTTTCAACTGGTTGCATCCAAACCCTGCCAAGTCTCTCATCATTGTTTTACTGTTTTACTTGTGTGTGTGTGTGTGTGTGTGTGTGTGTGTGTGTGTGTGTGTGTGTGTGTGTGTGTGTGTGTGTGTGTGTGTCAGAGTGTGCATGGGAGCGTGTGTGTGTTTGTCTGTGGTTTGGGATGGGTCTGTTGGGTGGTCGGGGGGAGGGGACATGGGCCGGCGGGATTGTTTTTAACCAAACTGTAAAGCACTTTGTGTTGCATCTTTTGTATGAAAAGCGCTTCATAAATAAAATTTGATTTGATTTGATTTGATTTGATTTATTGTCCCCTGAGGGGCATTTTTCTTTAGGGCTTAATCATTCAGTAGATTATTGGGACGGAGAGATTTACTGCTGGTGACACATTGAACTCAGGGCTGTAAGTTTATTTGCAATACATTGTTGAAATGTGCTATAAATAGAATAGTGTAGCAATAGTAAAATATGCAGCCAGTGCTTTAACCGGGAATACAAAGAATCAGAAGAAAATAGTTAATGCAGTTGCATAATAAATAGTGTATCATGAGGTTCAACATGTAGGATTCTTTTGTTCCACGCTGTTTTGGGCAAGCCTGTTTGACATGAATATTCTGATTTAAAATGAGGAGTATGTAAATTCCTAGTGTATACAGTGGCTATTGTCCATTTCAAATTAAGCAAAGTTTTGAGAGCAGAGGGCAAACAGACAGCTCCCAGGTCTCTTAGCCTTTGGTCCCAGCTGCTGAGAGCAGCCTTGGCTTCAGATGTGCTGAATCATAATGTGAGTTTCCTGTAGGCGCCTTGAGGCTCATGCAGAATAAATGCATATTGATATTCAACAGGGAACGTGTCTCAATTATAAAGGCCAGCTCAGATGTTGGTAAATAAAAACAACATTGGAAAGGTCTCAGCTATGACCTTGAGGAGTGAACATCCAACATTTTGACTTTATTTTGAATTGGTAAATATCCTTTTACTTTCTGGCCAAAAGTTTTGTACATTTTTTTCTCCCACCAAAATGTTCCTCACTATTGTCCTCAGTTCTGTACTGCCAGATCTGCTTCTGAAAAACACTAAGCATCAGGAAGTCTGTCCATTCATCTCAGCAGGAGGCACGTAACAGTTTCCCTCTACACAGGTGAATTCTTCCTGGCTCATGGCTCAGGTTCTTTCAGAGCAGTAATGGGAAAAGTATCATCCTTAAATGGTTCAGTCAGGCTTTCTTCAGAGCACAGTAATAATACTATTTGATGTGAGGCCTTCACAGTTTGTGTGTGGATTGCCATTAATTACTGCCTTTATTGTCCCTTTGACATTATGTTTGAGAGTATGCAGAGTCATAAACCAATCACTGCTTTAACTAATATGCTGTGAGACAACATTGAAAACCCCTTTTCATTTTCTTGAAATAATTAAGGGGATAACACGGAAAGTAATAACATCGCTATCTTACAATTGTTTGTAATAGAAGATTAATTAAGTTGACTGTCGCACATGCTCCATTTAGACTTTGACGACTCTTTAATTTGGCCTTGAAACCCATGGTCATTTGTGTGTGTGTTGTCCTGTATACTGTAGAACACAAGACTATTCCAGCAGTTCTTCAGTCAATTCTAGATGTTCATTCTGAATCAATTGTATGAATTTTTCATGTGAGCTTATACAAATTGCAGCAGAGGTTAGTTTGCCGTAGAGATGAGGGCCTCTTCCCATCCATTGAAGAAGTTGATTGATCGGTTGTTGTGCTGCACTGGCGGCTAAAGCACGAAGAGGATGTGCCCTCTCTTGTCAAGGTTTCAGCCGTCCATCACTGCCTGCTCTGACTGATGAAGTAATGTGTACTTAAAATATATATGTATTTGATATGGACACAACAGTTACATTGGGCACAGCAGTTGTACTTCCTTTAGTGTTGCAACAAGATCATGCTAAAGTTCAACACTTGTCCGTAGGAGGCTGTTAGGACATAAATAGCCACATTAAACTTAAAACATATTAAAATTACTTCATTCATTAATTAAATATACTGGTATATTTTTGTTATTCTATCTATAAGACAACAAGACTACTGTATGTCTTTGTTGGAATAATCTGAATCTGAAAATGTTCTCATGTTTAGTAAATGAGCTCTGTATGAATTATTATTTATTTTGAATGTTAGAAAAAAATCTGATCTTCTTGAGACTTTCTGTGGCTACATTTAAGACTTTTTATTCATGTTTAGATTGAATCTTGTCTCAGTTGGTGCTGCCCTTGAAAAATTGCAATGATTTGGATGATAATCTACTACTGCCATCTATTGGTGGACAATCAAATACAGATTATTAAATACCACATGTTGAATAAAGCACTTTTATTATTATTATTATTATTATTGATATTTACAACAGATTTGATGTTTCTCCAACACTGCGTTGTAAAAAAAAATAAAAAATAAAAATAGACTTGATAATGATGTGTTCATATGTGGTTTCATTTCTTACCGCATTATATATAACTGACTTAACTTCAAATTTACCTTTAAAAATGTCATTTTTGTGGAATTCCGTGCATGAAAATATTATGATAAAAATGCAGGAATGTTGCGCTTTGGTTGACACTGGTAGAATAATCTACAATCTCCTGGTAACGTCCTGTTTTTCCGTCTTCAGTCACAAACACGACGCAGGCTGTCCCGCCCTTTCACATGTGCTGGGCGTCCATGATATCCAGATATTTGGCATCAATTATCTTTGGAAGCAAACTTGTCCTGCATGGGGAAAAAATAAATGGTAAATAAAATGCAGGTTAGAAGGCATAATACTCACATTCATTGCCAACGTGAACAAATGTTTGAGAATAGTTTGTCTCTCTGTAAAGTCCTTCAAGACGACAGCTGTTGTGATTTAGGGCTGTACAAAAATAAATTGAATTGTCTTGGCCCGTTCAGTTTGTCTTACCAATATAGTCTTTCCCTCATTTTTCATTAAAACATCTTTTGAAAGGGAGAATCACTGTGGAGACGATTGCGTTTATGTAGTATACTGACTAGTGTACTGCATTAACGTGACTTAAATTGTGACGTCTAGGGCTTTTTCTAACCAGAACGCACAATGTAAAACAATGTTGTACTAGATAAAGTTTTGGTTGGGACCGACACAATCTTTACATTAAGTTAGGTACCCCCAGTTTCAATGTTATTTCACAACTATGTTTTTTGCACTGTGTAATAGCCTTTTCATTCAAAATATTACAATACGTCTTTTCTCCATTCATTATGATACTAGTTTCCAAACTCATGCCACCATTCCACACGCTGGGATTGGGATGTGATGGATAATCGTGCAGTAATCTGTGGCAGCCCTGTTCCTCTCCCGCACAGTGCTATTCTGCCCCCTATAGGCCACCACCCACCTGACAGGCACCAGCAGGATCATGAGCAGGGGAAACACCATCTTCATGTAGGGCAGCGGGTACATTCCAAAGGCACACAGGATAATGAGCTGAATCATCTGCAGCGCTGTGAAGCTGTGCACCTTCCTCTGAGGCACACGCCGGATGTAGTGTGTGGGAGGGTAAGACGTCTGCGCAGACCAGAGGAGACAGTATCAGGCATCACCTTTCCACCTTAATTCACTTTAAAGGATGATTTTTGAATGTTTATCTTGACAGGTAAGAAAATATGGGATGAGAAAGATAACCCAACACTCCCATCTATTGGTAAACGCATTCTTAAACACGTATTTTAAGGAACTAACATTCAACAATTTAATCAGAGAAATTACTAATATGTTGAGGAAATTATACAAATGGTTTTGCGGCACACACAGAAAACAATCAATCAATCAATCAATCTTAAAGGTAGTTATTGATATCATATAGTGTAATTCACGGTACAGTAGGGTAGCTTCGCAGGACAATATGTCGTCTCTGACAGTGGTCTCAACTCCTGGTCCAACTCCTTTTTGTCCCTTATCAACCACTGTATTCCAACATGGCACATTGACACAGAGAGTCCAGCTCCCATAGACATTTATAAGTCCCATTCTAAGCCTATGACAACAATTCAAAAACATGGTGGAGGTAAATATTCTTTAAAAAGGTCACATTTGTTAAAATGTTTTTTTTTTCATTTGGCGCAACTGTAGAAAATACACAGAGTACCTTTAAATGTGCTTAATGTTGCATCATGACTGAAATTCACATAAATATAAAATACAAAAAAATACAAAGCTGTTGGTTGGAACCTTATAATTGAATCAGAACACACTACTCACAGTTTTTCTCTATAATTGTTGACTATTACCCCAATTTTCACTATAGGATTAATGTGTTACATCTTACATTTGCATATTAAAACTGCTAATGAATGAATCAAAAGATTAAGATCACCATTGTTAAAACAGCCTTTTAAAATGAAGATAATGATTGGTACACCCTCCTAAATATTCTCTTGTTTAAAATAAATACGGTTTTAGAATAATACAACAGGTTTTAAAACAGCTTTATAGTGTGTAGACCAGTCCCACCTGCTCCTTCAGCAGCAGACACATGCGGTCCATCATCTGGTTACCGTCCAGCGACGTGGCGGCGATGTACAGGAAGAGGCCGTAGAGCACCGGCTTGGGGATCCACTGCAGAGGCACCGGCAGCATGAAGGCCGAGAAGCCGATCAGGATGTTAGCCACCAGGGCGGTCAGGCGAGTTTCCTTCACACTCACTATACTGCAAGAAACACAAAAGTATGCAGATCACATCCTCATCCTGATTCTCAGATGTGCAGCTTGTTTTGCTTACTGATAAATCTCTGTTGGGAAAAGTATTTTATATATTGATTTTCAGATTCAAGATCAAGGCTATGCTCACACTCAGAGAGCAGCCGTCCTCCTGTGGACTCACCACCTGCAGAGGGTCAGTGAGGGGCTGGTGCTATGAGACTTGGGTGGCATCTCTGATTGCCACCCCCCTGACCCAGAAATGGATTAAAGGGTAGAAAATGGATGGATGGATGGATTTTCAGATTCGAAAAAATTATGCAGCACTTTTGTACCTTTCATGGAACAAAAAAATCACTCTACATCAAGGAACCATTCAGCCATTGACACACATTCACACACCGTGTATGCAGACGCAGGGGACCTGTATACACTGGTCTGCCCAAGAATACATCGACCTCGTTTACTGACAGGAGCTGGTTTCACACCTGGCAACCCACAGATCGATCTGACAGCTCAACCCATACAATTATGTCGGGAGAAGGATTAGAACCAACAAGCTTCAGCTATCAACAGAGCTACTATTGTACAGACATTTCAGGGATATTTACAAATCTGCTTCTTAGTTTTGTAAAAGCAACAAAACTGATTGAATAAATGCATGTTTGTTTTTCCTGACATTCTTCCTTTGGCCTGTTGATAAAAAACATTCATTACATATAATAATAATAATAATAGGCTCATGTTCTTGAATTTGTTGTAAAGACTTCAGTTTACCTTGACATTTCTTAAAAAACAGATGTTTTGGATAATTTCTTTCCATGTGTTGTCGTCACACTGTCCCCAAAATAAACCACTTCCACTGATGAGTAAAGTAAAGCAGGAAAAAACAAACCAATGTTGTGTGTAATTGTAGTATAATCTATTATCTATAGAAAATTTAAAATAAAAGTTGCCAAAGGATTAACAGTATGTTTAGAATCAGAATCATTTTATTGTCATGTAAGTAACAGGAAATTGCTTTGGCTCAGTGAATAAGTCAGAAAAGAGAGGTAAAGAATAGAGAATAGAGCGTTTATGTGGTTTTATGGACAATAACAAAGTGAGACAACCTTGTGATGTGAATGAGGTGAAGGTCTTACTTTGAAAAGGAATCAGTGACGGTTGCTTTGAAGTCTTTGTTCTTGGATTATGACTTAAATCGTCCAAATGAGAAATAGGATCCATAGTTGTTCCTTATTCTTTTGACACATTCTACTCATACAAATGAATATTGTTGAGTTTCTTTTGTCATTCTAAAGCATACAGCAACTAGCATGCAAACAGCGTACTTCATGGTTTTCAAAGAGAATATCATCCCTTATTAATTTGACACATTCTGGCAGTTAGAGCTCCTTTTGAAATGTGTCTGGTGTCAAGAAAACAATTCCCCATAGACCAAACGTTTGCAAAATGTAAGAATTGTTGTGGTGCAATTAAACGCACAATGTCTCCTGCTTTTAGCCCAGGTAAAAAAATAAAAATAATAACAAACACAAGCAGCAAGGGACTGCACTTCAAAGCATTGATCAAAAAATGTGAGTGGCCTACAGTATATGAGTCCAAATGCATATATTTAAAACTTATGCATAGATTTTGTCCTGTGCTCCTCAATGCATCTGCTGGCCTCATCTCAGTAGTATCCGGCTTACGTGGTTAGATGCCACCATAATATTGGGAGGAACATAAATTAGATTGGACTTTGGAACATCAAACAAAAACTCCCCCCTCCCTGTCCCAAAAACCTTACACCACGTACCACTCATGAAAAGACCCAATTTCTCCCACGTGGCTGTGACTTACGTTGAATAGACGTGGCCGTTCTCAACGCGCTGCTCCACTTTGGCGAGCTGACGTGCGTGCAGCGAGGAGTGTGGGAACGCCGCGTGCATCCATGGCAACCCCAGGCACGACATGAGGATGTTGATGAGGCCGGTCAGCACCAAGTCCCAGTGGAATGTGGTGCCTTTCAACAGCCTGACACAGACACATGCTCAGCTCCGTTTGCTCTCAGTCATAACATTTACAATTGTTTCCGTCGTTATGGTAATAGGTTGTGTTATGTTGCCAACTGATGTGTTATTGCAGAGACTGTGGAGTTAATTATGGTTTGTTCAAGGCTTTATAATTACTTCTGATTGTCAATGATCCGCTTGGTTCTGTTTGACGGACATGTCCACAGCTTAGTAGTTTTCATTTTGGTGGGAATTGGACTGTTTTTCATTTCAATATCAAAGTTTCTACTAGCTAGAAATCTTTCATATCATCAGGTTATTATTGATATAGTGAAGGCTCGGATTGACAGAGGCATTAAAAACAGCGGTGAGATTATAGCTTATTATTGTTAAGTAAAAACACATATGAGCATAAAATGAGAATATGTAAAATATTATGTACAAATTCTTATCTTAAAAATGACAAATTGTGCTCATTTTTATTCAACAATTAAGCAATTTTCTTTATGTAGTAGTTTTAAAGTGTAAAAAATCTCCTGTCAGGTTAAAAATACTCTGAAGTATAATTTAGGGAGGAAAAAACATATTATTGTACTGGGCTGTTGTACTGTGTTGGAGGACAGTCGGAATAGAGACGTGTGTCTTACTTGTGTTCTGGAACATGCGTGAGGGAAATGACAATGTTTTGGTCGATGAAGATGAGCAGAGCCAATAGGAAGCCCAGCCCCACTGCGCTCAGTGTGTTCATGCCGCTCAGTTTGTCAAACGGCGGGAAGTTAAACACTGGACCATTGTGGACGCTGAACTGAGGAACTGAAACAAAACAAGATTAAAAGTTACTCACTCTCAGCAGAGACCATCAGGTAAGAATGTGCCTCAGTCACTTAGATTATATCCCAGTAGAACAGCATCTGGCCTGTTCACGAGTCCAGAAGTGAGCGCTGCGGGCTGTGGTTTTGTTTCAAAGATGTTTACAAAAACAATTAATGCTTTAGGTTTTATCCCAAAGATAAAAAAACACATCTTTGTTTATAATAATATCCACCAAACTAAATCCTCCTATAACAGCTTGGTTCTTTCTCTAGTTTCCACATGCGTGTGTGTTTTGTCATCTGTCATGATTATATATAACATAATATAATCCTGTTTTTTGTGGCTCTCTCTGTCTCGTGTTCTTTTTTTCCATACATGCCTGACAAGTCTTCTGCCACATGAGTGACATCAAAGCTGTCTTAGAACATAATAGCTGTTACCTCATGCTGCTGTTTTGCATGGCTTGTTGCTGTGTAAGCGTGGAAAAAAGCATAAATGTTTTAAACTTGTTTGCAAAACAAATCACTACAAAAGGTTTTTGTTTAGCACAGAATCTTGTGATATGTCACAAGCGCTACCACTCCTTATGCACTTACTGTATTTTGATTATGGTCTGCAAACACAATGAATCGTTAAACAACAACAATCATAGCCCTGCACAGTCTGTAATCCTGTTTTGTTGTGGCCTCATTCAAAAGAATGGGATAAAAATAAAGATTCACGCTGTGTGTGCTGCTTATTGAACACGCCTCTCCAGGGGCTGTGGTTTTACATCTTTCTAAAATACGAGGTCTTTGGGCCTATGTAACAGAAGAAATAACCAAACAGAGGATCTATGCAGAGACTGATGGTCAGCGAATCTCCTAAATGTGAAAAATCAAACTTATAAATAATTGTGTCTACAATGCATGTACAATTAGATTAGGCACAAATGTTGTTCTATATACCAATTTTCTCCGTTTATATATATTTGAAAATAATTTTTCAGCTTCATCTGAGTGAGAAACCATATCTCCAAATGATCACCAAGCCAGTCAGTGAAGGAAACTTCTTGCTTCTGTGTCTATGGTCTTTTGGTTATTACCAGCTCATGACCATGGCTGAAGGTGGGAAAATTCACTGGTAAATCAAGAGATTTGGCTTATCGCTCATTTTCTTCTTAACCACAAAAGTCTGATTACAATGTTTGCCCATCTCCCACCCCTCTCCGTCCTTCCTTCACTTCCACAAAACAAAGATATGACTGTACACAGAAAGCTCGGCCGAGATAGACCCAGACATAACCTGTCCCCCATCTGGAGAGGACAAGGCACATTTTTCTGCCTAAGGGCCTTGGATTTTGAGGAGCTGTTTGACCTCTTGATAAGGATATACTTCTTCTTTGTAAACTCACGCTGTATGTCGATAAACAGGTAGGATCCGATGAAGGAGAAAATGACCACAGAAATGGGTAAGGCACAGTCCGACACCACTTCCCGCACTTTGGAGTTCAGAAATGGGCTGTGGAGAGAGGGACATCATTACTCAGGACAATTCTGATGCAAGCCGTTGTCATTTAATGTTGTGAATATTTTAATTTGCCAGGCAGGCAGCTGCAGCTCACACAAACATAGCGGTGTATTACTCTATGACCCAGAAGACGCAATTATGATGTAACGTACACAAAAATAGCAAAAAAGGAACACATTTTGAATATTTAAAACTGTTGCCATAGGAATAAGAGGTTTCAAATTGGGACAATATAACCTGGTGCAACTAACTTTCAAATGACAAAACATTGAACTATGTAGTACATTCATACAACAACATTCTCGGGTTCTTTCACTAGTTTTTGCATATATGTATTTTCAGTGATGGGAATAACGGCATTGAAATAAATGGCGTTACTAACGGCCTTACTATTTTCAGTAACGAGTAATCTAACTAATTACTTAGACTGTAACTATAACGCCGTTATCATTGCCGACACTGTTACAGCACGTTACTCAAGTCGCACAATTAACTTTTTTTAACTTCATGATAGGACTTGTGCAGAGAAGGGAGGATGAGAAAACCTCTCAGCAATTATTGGCTGATGTAAAGTAAGATTATGTCTTCAGCCAATCAGAGAAATTGGGTAGGTGGGTGTTTCCGCATTCACAGCGACAGGTGTTTAGTGCTTACAGCACACAAAGAGAGATGGAGAGTGAGGAGGGCTCCAGCAGCAAAACAGCCTTTTCCAGATGGAAATATTGGCATTATTTCAAACTCCCTGAGGTTAAAGGTAAAAATGTTTACGTCGATTGCACATTATTTTCCAGAATGAAGCATTTGTCCTCGTCTTGGTTAGCATATGCATATATGGTAGCTTCTGAAACACGCTCTCAGAAGGTGAGGGCTGGTAGGGGGTTACGGGGGTTACAGGGCAAGAAACAAAAAAGTAACGCAATAGTTACTTTTACTGATGACTAGTTACTTTTATAGTAGAGTAACTCAGTTAGTAACTCAGTTACTATTTGGGAGAAGTAACTAGTAACTATAACTAATCACTTTTTAAAACATCAAATAGCGACTCACTCTTTATTGCAAGATTGTGAAGTATAGCATTTTTTCTAACATAAAGACATCCTGGTACGGTCTTGTTTGTTACTGTTGAGAGTTATTTATGAAGAATAATAAGTTAGGTTCTTCTGTCATTTTGCACAATCTGAGTGACTTACATTTCTCCATTGTGAGATCCATAAAGCTTACCTTCTCTTATCTTATTCTTCTCTCAACAGCAGGATATGCACTTAGCAACGGATCTCACCTTCTCTTGATGAGGTAGAGGGCATATCCCAGCCACAGCGTCCCGAGCATGAGCAGCAGGCAGAGGATGGGTCTCTCCCTGGTGCACACAACCAGAGACTCGGGCAGCAGGAGGAGGGGATGTGAGGGTCCGGGCTCGCTGCTGTTGGATCCTGAGTGGTTGTTGGCCCGCTCCAGGATCTCAGTGATCTGCTGTAGCACCACCGAACTGTTGCTGGTCGCCAGGGTTGGTCCGTAGTAGTAGTGGTCAAAAACTACAACAGTCAAAATAGATCAAAACTGTCATTTGGCAACAAGGCATTTTAGTAAGAGGGCCGCTTTAGTTGACCAGACTTGTCCAGAGGATGACAACATAGATTTTATAATTGTTTGAAAATGTATACTATGTCAACAATGATTCACAACACAGCTACATTAGTCTCTTAAGGAATTTTGTCAGTATATACAAACAATGCTAACAACTTACTCCCCCAAAAATAAATATAGGTCAATAAATAGAATAAATACTGTATGTATACTGATAAACGAAATACCTTGGACAGGACATGACTTCTGACCTCACGGATGACGATGACATTCAGCAGTATAAACTTTACAGCCACACCAAAATGCTCGTCCGAGTTTCACATGAGCTCTAACTGTGCCAAGATTGGTCTTTTTTGACACATTTTGCTCACTCTTTCACACTGCACCGCTCTGGCCTTCATAAAAAAGATAGAAGGAAATGAGCATGCCGAGTCTGACTGTGGCTCACAGTGACTCTCTGTTGAAAGTGCCCAGGTTTTTGTAGCGGCAGTGAAATGTTTGTAAATTTCGGGGGTCTCGTCTCCGTCAAATATTGTATATATTTTTCTGTGTTGAGGCATGAAGAGGAGGACTCTCAGATTCTCCCCTCACTTTTGGACACATTGGTGGTCGTGCTTGTAGATCAGGCATGTCCAAACTCAGGCCCAGGGGCCAGGTGCGGCCCTCCGTGTCATTTTATGTGGCCCTCTGCCTTTCTGACCCAAAGCAGTCTATGAGATCATAAACACAAGTTCACTGAGTCATCCATCCAACTTCAGCATAGCCAATATAGACCTTGTTCTAAAGCCCAGTACGTTTTTGACTTTATTTGCACATACTGTCCTGACGTGCTTTTTGAGTGTGTCACTTCCGTTAATGACACTAATGTAGCTGGTGAGATGGGAAACATTGTCATTCAGCCTGTCATCATCTCAGACAGATGATGACAGGCTGAATGACAATGTTTCAATCATAAAGCTCAGAACAGCCCGATGCCAGTCAAGATAGTTTTTCAGTCCGTGATATCGGCCCCTAGACTAGTCTGGTGAACTAAAGCGGCCCTCTTACTAAAAAGTTTGGACACCCCTGTTGTAGATCTATGTGTAGCTTTTTCTAGTTTGTAGTAGGACTTTTTTTGTTGTAGTTGTGTTGAGAATGAGTGAAAAAGTGAATGGATGGTGTTGGTTGGGGGCCTTGATGCGCCAGTGTGTTCGGCATCTCGCTTCCGTCATCACCGTGTGTGGTTTTTTTTTGTATCATTCATTTTTTATTCAGCAATACAGGGAAAAGAGAGAATAAGCAACAGAGAAAGAGAAGGTACAGAAGGTGCGTTCTTTAGGTTGGTTTTATGTCTGCATAAGTTTATGTGTCTGTTTTGGAAATGAGCAAAGTAGATGTGATGACAAGGAAGTTCGCTCTGTGTTCATAATGAAGAAATTGAATAATAATAATAATACTAACACATTGGTTTTATGTAGCGCTTTTTTGGACACTCAAAGACGCTTCACATGTCAATATTCATTCACTCCAAACATGGTAGTGACAAACTACCACAGTATCCACAGCTGCCCTGGGGCACAACGACAGAAGTGAGGCAACCAGTATGTGCCATCGGCCCCTCCGACCACCACCAACCATTCACACACACACCAGACTCATCCAGACTCACACAATAGGCAAAACTTGTAAAGGTAAGGAAGATTTATGATCATAGAGATAGAGAGATCATAGAGAAAGAGAAATTGGTTTTATCCTAATGATGATTTTAAACATTGAATCAAACTATTGTGAGACTCGGTAAAAAAAAGCAACCATGGCAACACGCTATTGCCCGTTTTTTAAGTTCTGACACTGGCGTCACATGTGAGGCGGCTTTGTTATCTTGTCCTCGTATTCAGTTTGGTGTGAAATTCGTGCCACTCACTTTTGACTGTGCCTTTCACCGCGTCCCCGACAAATGCTATGGAGATGAACAAAGCAATGACTTCTTCCGTGGAGCTGCAGATAACAGGAGCCAAAGAGCCACACAAGGATCATTCACATGTTATCAGCGTACTTTTCAACTGCGCCACAGACAAAATTGCGTTCAAGGTAAACAGATAGCGAGCGACTGGTTTGAACAGTGAGAAGGATTTATTTCCCACACAAACATGAAGTCAAAACAGGCCAGCGTTGGCTTATCGGCTCTGTGCGTGGCGTTCTAACAGCTCAATATAAAACTCATTCTAAAAAAATATTATTGTCTGAAGGAAGCGTTATTGTTTACCGTTTGAAGAGTTTCATCACCAAGCTGACGTTAAACAGGCCTCCGAGGATCAGGAAGAGACTGTTCCAAAGGCCAATGCAGGCATAGAAGGCGTCAAAGTCAATTTGGTAGTCGTCACAGATGCCACGGATCACTGCCAAGAAAAACAGAGACTATTTTCACATTTTAATATTATCTACTGGTACTTTTTGTTCCTTATTTTGAAACCACAAAATCAAAATATTTTCTAGCTTCAATCCTCTTTCATTATCATTGTGCACATGCAATTGTTGACCTCGCACACTTTTAGATCAGATATTTCAGAGAGACCCTTGAAAAAGAGAGAACCTCCCTCTCTCAGCCAATAATCTTTCAGCCCAAAGCATTGTGACCAGTGGGGGCGGGTCCCGGCTCAAAAGTGGCCAAAATGACGTGCGCTAACATGCGTGCAATACCACCATGATGGGGGTGGACCCGGAATAAGAATTAGCCAATGCTAACACATAGCATCTTCTTACCCCTCGAAAACGTCTTTACAGGATGGTCGAAAAGTTGGCTGTTGGCACAAAGCTCTGTTCCACATGTGTGTCAATGCTGACACACAGGTGAATTTTTTTGGACCAGTCTAGTTTAGTTGCTGTGAATTTTTGAAGGCACAGATGCATTTTTTTAAAATTTTCCAGCCCCGCTGCCATTTTTATACTGCCCATAGACCGCGGAAGTTGTGACACATTAGTTAGAACGGCGGAGATAGGCAGGACTACGTTCGTTAATATTTACTGTCTATGATTGTGACTCACAGGTCTATGTCTTAAAGGTATGCAAACACTCCAATGTTTTCTAATAAGGTTGAAGACAGCATGTTGTGGTCTGATTCAGTCACACAATTTAACCTATACGAGACTATTTCTGATGGGACAATACCAACGTTAAATTTATGACATAAAGTTGGGTACTTGAACAGCGTTGCTATGAAAGGTTAGCTTTTGAGATTTGAAAAGATTATCAAAAATAGTTTTACGATTTGGAGATTATTTTGAGTTATTGTATATTATAAAATCCTACTTCGGGGATCTCACTGATGGGTGGAGGGTAGATGACACTAGATCAATCCGAAGGAAATATAGACTATTTTAGATTCTTACCGTGATGCTAAGAATGTGCTGTAAGAGAAAGTGTGTCTATGTATGTTGTATCTACTCCTTGAATGTGTTTTGTTTGCATGTTTGTATAAAATCATAGAAATGTAATCTTAAAATCTGCTAATAATACTCTGGAAGTACACCCTGGAAGTACATACCGCTGATAAAGATTGCCAGTGGTGCCGTGGTGAGCGGGATGACGAGCGGCGCTCCAGCGAACAGCGCATATATAACTCCACCTATGCTCTGGCCCACTATCGTTTTCTGAACATCTGTGAAAAAACACCCACGTTTAAGCAACAATCAAACTTGAAATACATGAATAAATACTTAGAGAACACACTTACCAATTTCCCCTCTCGTGCTTTCATCATTCAAAGATCCAAAAGCGATGTTTGGAAGAAGAATGGCGATGTAGAGGAAGATGGCTGTGGTGGTGTATTTGAGAAGTGATCGATCGTGACCTGTTAGACCTAAAATATAAGAGCGCATTTAGGGAATAGGCTCAGTGCAGACCTTAACCTTGTGTTTTTCAACCAGTGTGCCGTGGTACATCAGTGTGTAGTGAGATGTTATTTGCTGTGCCTTGGGAAATATTCCAATATCACACAATTGGTCAAAATAATGTGAGAAGATTAGAAAGATTTTTTGCGCTTGTCTGATTTTCTACATGATTGGAATGACTTTACTTTCATTGTAAAAGTTGCTAAGTTTCATGTTTGTATTAGTTTCTAGCTGGTGGTGTGCCCTGTGAGTGTTTTCAACCAAAAATATGTGCCACGGCTACAAAAAGGTTGTGAAACACTGCTTTACTGTACTACCATCTGTGAAGTCTGAAGGGTAGAGTGGGAGTCTGCGGCGGAGGTCTTCATAAACACCTTTGCCAAATTTGAAGAAGTCTATGCACTGTGGGGAAAAGAACAGAGGTCAGACAATATCCCTCCAGCGGAAAACAACCAAATCTAATATATAAAGCTGGGGTATATAACTTTATGTAAATTCAGTTTTTCTCATCAGCAATGAATTGTCAGTGCAGACGGAATGAGTCGGCTCTACACTTTGTCAACCTAATAACATTTCAGCTCATGTAGGGAAAAGCCAAGTTAGTCTCTCTAAAGTGATGGAGTAAAAGCAACTGTCTATGTTTTATGTATTTATTTAACTGGTATATTCCCACTGGAATCTCAGAAGGAAATCAAAGACAAATTGTAAAATTATTAAATCTGAATAGACACAAGAAAGTAGAAACATAAAATCATATCTGAAAGAGTAGTGCAGATAACACACATCTCCAAAGCATTAAACATTGTCAACATACTGTAGCTATTGTTACTTAGACCTGTCAGAGTGAGGAGAGAAGGCAAATCTTATACTTAATTAAGGGTATTGGCAGTAAGACATGTTTATGTCTTTACGCTGAAAAATATATATACATTTTTTCAAAAAGTAAAATATTATTGCTGAGCCATCCCTGTTAATAATTAGTACAAACATGTTGGATTGGGCCTGTCTTTCAGCTTGTGTCCCAGCTGCTGCTCATTTGTTGGCTGATAATAACATTATCTACTTTATTTTATGGCCCCAGATCTGTATATGCCTGAATGGAGTGGGAACACATGAGGAGCGCTCCACATGTGAATGTCTTTAATGATGTAACATGCTGTAACTGCTGGGTTACATATGCAACGCTTAATGCTATTTCCTTTATATTAGAAAGACTGCTTTTCAGAACCAGAATTCATTCTAAACACTAAACAAAGAAACATACATATTATGATATTTCACTATTAAAATGTATTCAATATGTTGCTCTGAAATGTCCCCACTGTAACACGGATAAAGGAGCTCTTCATTTCTAAAGCAGTTCATGGACTTTCTGTTCAAACCTGCACAAGTGATAAGCCTGTCTCCTCAGAGGAGCATGTCATCAAACCCAGCAGCTAAATTGAATTGACTTTTTTTAATTATTAAAATTAGCTACAGAAACCTGAATGTTTCACCTGAACTCAAACACTTTAGACTCTGGGCTTAACGTGCAGACTCTTCAAACAGAAGAGTGGTGGCAGGTGAAACTTAACCTTTCTGACCACTGAGGCCTCAAATGCAAGACAATACGTGTGTCTAAATTAAACTCTGGCGAAGTATCAAGGAAACATTATCACTAAAGTCTCATAATTCTGCATGTTGTATTTTAATTATTTGATGTTCTAATTAGCTCTTTCATGTTTGTGTAATTCTTTTGCTTTTGTCCTGTACACAGAATAATGGATGTGTTTTGGTAATAATATTTGCTCATTCCTGGTTCCCACCTGAAGGTGTTTGGCTCTGCGGGGGTCCGAGTCCACCACTTCCTCTATCACTGGCTTCTCTGAGACGATGGAGAGATGCTGCCGCTGAAAGACCAGCTCCTGCTTGAACTCGTCGTTTGTTTTAGCGTCCAGCAGCTTCTGTCTGAAGAAAATGTCCGAGAACATTGTAGCAAATGTTCGGCCCAGTTCAATCGCTGTCTTGGTGCTTTTCTGTAAGAAGAGCAGAAACGTTATAGACTGATGCTTGAAGATTTACAATATTGAATATTTCAAAACTAGCACTTTCACGTGAGTATGTCTGTCACAGACAACAGATAAAAAAGGTTAGACATGCATTTTAGTGCTAGGGCTATAAAAAAAATAGCAAATTATTATGTATAATTGACCAAAGAACAGTGAATACTTCAATGTTCTTGAATTTTCTTTTTCTAATGTGTTATGGATCCACGTTTATAGCTGCTTGAAAATGCTGTAATTAGGTCAATTTGAGCAAAAAAAGTTTGAAGAAAAATGTCTAACCAACTTAGCATAGTGGTTCTATCGGCAAATTACTATAAAATATATTTTTTATGGATAGGTTGGTATGATTATATTGCGACCTAAATATTCATGATTATCTATTAACCATCTTTATATCCCAAAAGGCAACAAGAGCAGAATTTGTCATTAAGAGTAATTTTGGAAGCATTCCTTGATTTGTGATTTAATATACAGTATACTGTATATATTTTTCCCGTTTAACTGTACTTCTCCTAGACCTGTGAGGGAACAAGAGGAGTCTCATTCCCACCACTGCTGAAAGTGCGAGTCGTACCGTTTTGGGCGGGGCGAGGATGAGGACGACATACCGCGCCTCGCAGCAGTTTACGCCCCAGTTCTGAGGCCGGTCTAATCGAGTGATGCAGACAAGGCGCCTCTGCAGCGTCGACACTGTGGAGCTGGAGGAGCAGGAAGACAGAGAAACCTCAAAAATCACAGAGAATGTATCCTGGTTTAAGGCAGAATAAATGATGGCGATATCCTTACAGAACACACAGCCATGACTGCTGGTAGTGAACCCCAGTGGAACTCGCTGTTACTCCTTGGATAGTCTCTGTCAGAAGGTGCACTGGAAACAGGGAAGAAAGCCCACATCAAATACAACACACATATCAAAAACCCTACACTACAGCAAAAATCTAAATATTAGTGACTGGTTCGGTCATCAATCTGTTTTCTTCCCCTTTGTCTATTTCTGGGTCAAGGGTGTCAGTCAGAGCTGCACCCAATTCACAGAGCACCAGCCCCTTACTCATCCTCCTACAGGTGGGGAGTCCACAGGAGAATGGCTGCTCTGTTGATAAGAGCATAGCCTTGATCTTTCTGCAAGGGCTTCACGCAAAGTGGGGTTAAGTGTCTTGCCCAAGGACACAACAACAGCGGACATCAGTGGGAGACGGTGGAAAAGGTCTGGTGGGCTCGAAACTTCGGGCTCAAACCCCTGTAGCCCAAGGTAATGTATTATAGTTTGGAATATACAGACATACAGTATACATCTGGCTACTATCAACATACAAAATAAATATTCTCTCTAATTTTTGAAAATGTGTCCTTTCCGTTCCACTTTTTCTGTCTGAATCTGTTGAATCTGACTGTAAGATAAGGCAAACTACAAATACTAAAACGTAAAGAGCCAAACTAGTAATAGAACCAAACTGTTTTGAGGGCAAGGAACCAGTGGGTTGAAAGTAGGTACCCCAGCTTTAAAACTAAATATTATGTTTGCAAAAATCAACCCTGATAAACTGGTCAATCCATGTATCAGTTGCAGCGGTAACTGACACGGCACATGCTGCTCACCGTCGCAGTCCTGGCCTCCTGCGTCTGTGAACAGTGAGTTCATGATCTCCTCCACGTTGCAGCCGCTGTGTCCCTCATCCACCAGACTGGTCAGCATCGTCCTCAGAACCTCATCCAGTGTACTCGCCTTCTCGTCCAGTATGATACTGGCCTGAGCCAAAAAACTGTCCAGGTCTCTGTGAGCGCGCACCTCCTCCTGGAAGTTCATTGGCTTCACATACTGAGGGTCAGAAAGACATAAATTACATTATTGGAAATCACCACAGAGATGGAAATATTTAGGACACGGCTTACTTTTCTGGTTGTATTTAAAAGTCCAAATCCGGGCCCTTCGGAGTCTGTAAGCAAAAGCACAAGATAGAGTTAGACTTGGAGTTTATCCATCCATCTTCCTCCCTTTTGTCCATTTCTGGGTCGGGGGTGCCAACCATCTACCACCCAATTCACAGAGCACCAGCCCCTCACTGATCCTTCTGCAGGTGGGGACTCCACAAGAGGAAGCTCTGTTGGGGAGATTATAGCCTTGATCTTTCAGTGGGGTTAAGTATCTTGACCAAGGACACAGCAGCAGCAGACTTCAGTAGGAGTCGTGGAGAAGGTGGTGGGCGTGAACCAGTGGGGGCGGGTCCCGGCTTCAAAAGGTGGTATGCTTTCAATACCACTCCGGGCCGGTGGGGGTGGACCAGGAATAAGAATTTTCCAATGCTTTTGTATGGCGTCTTTCCTCTTAAAAGCCTCTTTACAGGATGGTCCAAAAGTCGGCTTTTGGCCCATCGCTACGTTCCAGATGTGTGTCAATGCTGAGGGGAGTATATATTTTTGGATCAGTCTCGTTTAGCATCTGTGGACTTCAGAAGGCACTCGTGAAAAAACGCATGCTTTAGCCGGCACACATTTGACATTTTCCTCTCCCGGAGCCGTTTTGATAAAGTCCATAGAAGCCAGAAGTGGTGGCACATTAGTTTGAACGGCGGAGATAGGTGTGACTATATCCCTTAATATTTACAGTCTATGACTTGAACCCACAACCTTCAGGCTCAAAGACCAATGCTCTACCAACTGAGCCCCCGAAGAGTTTAATTTCAAACAAATTGCAGTTTTATGTCCATACCTGCAATAGTGTTGGGGATGTCATACATGTTTGTTTCTTCTTTCTCCCCATCCTTGAGTTCTGTCAGTACAACATAAACACATTTATAATATCAAAACGTGAAGAATGAATGTGGGAAAAAAACAAGATTGATAGAATGATTCATAATTCAGCCGTTTTCAACAAGACGTTTGATGATGATTGGTGTGAGACGACTCACAGGCATGTTTGGAGCTCATTGTATCAACAAGTGTGATGTACTGTACTGGTGGAAAACATATCCTGGTTACCACATGAACAGTTTGTCCAAAAGGGGCACTAAAAACCAGCTTGTGCCATCTGTTAGTGAGCGCCCTGCGAGAGGGAGGCTCGGCCCAAATAAAAGCCAGCAGCCTCATGTACCAGACGTGGGGCAATATAACAATAGCGGCCCCTTGTAAATTCCCTCATTGTATAGAAGATGAATATGGCGCCTGGGTTGCGGCTTTTATGAGCACCTTGAAATGAAGAATTAACCCAGAGCCATCACGTGAAAGCTCAGAGCAAAGATTATCTCATTTTCCTAATTTCTGACGCGTATTAACGAACCTCCACACACCGGCGCAAGGACTGACAGCGATCGCAAGATTTAAGATGGAAGGCCATACAGAGAAGCAACATCCATACTACTTTGACAATTGTGGGTCATACATGCACCCCTCCATTGTGATTAAAATATTCCATTACTTTTTGCAACAAGTGTGAGAAAAATTAAGAAATAATATAGATTCCGCTGCATCGTGAACTTTGTTGCATCTGGATGGGCCCAATATTCACGTCTCAAAAAATAACATATCTAATTTGATAGCTCAAAACATCTTAAATACAGATTGTCCTGCTGCAGGTTGAAACAATAAATGCATCACATTCCACTGCAAAGCAAAATAAAAGTTCAGTTAAAAAACATAGCTTACCTAAAACACTATTTGCCAATGGGGCAGGCAAATATTCATTGTTTTATTTAAAAGACAAACTTGGAATTAAAAAACGACTATCTTTGGGGTAAAACGTTTCTTGCTTATTGCATTGCAAGCAAAAAATTCTTCAGGTTGAATAATGAAAACATTGACATAGAGATATCGCATTTCCAACTTTTCCAAGTTGTGGCTCTCAAACAGCCAATCCAATCTTAGGCCCTGTCAGAACCTTCTGTAGTTACAAAACAAATTAGTTGTTATTTTTCTATGTGGGAAAAGATTTCTCTCCCGTGAAATATAAAATAGCATGAAATTGTGCACTCACCCATTTCTTGAAAAACGTAGCCATTCTTTGACCTCCCAGCAGATGGATTTTCTTGAGGAAAGAAAAACAGATTAGGTGAGGCTGTGTCGCTTTGGGCAGAGCTGTTACTGACAAATAAGATGATAATTAGATTTTTGTAATGGTTTGGCACTGTAAACAAATCAGGGTCTGGGGTGTGTAGCCAAGACACCAGACTCTATGTAGGTGACGTCTGCCTTGACCTTGTCTGCGCTGAACTTTGCAACAGTAGCCCCCCACCCAGCAGCTGCTTCTCCTGTACAGTACATGCTGACCGATTTATGACGCTGTGTAATTAATATACTTAAGCCATAACAGCCTATTTAATTATCTTCACTTAGTAACTGGATGTTGGGGAGGCTTTTGTGGATTTTTTTGAGGCTATACTTTCCACAATACAGTATATACCCAGGCAGCGATAAGTACATTTCAATACGACATGTTGTTGCAGTATCTGTCTTGTTTTGACCGTTGAAATGAAAGGTAAGTGTAAAACGGGCCCCTGGGATATACCTTGAGAAGCAGACAGCTGTGTGTGAAGTTTAGCCAAGTACTCAGGTGTCAGAGAGTGTAGCAGCTCTGTCTATCTCAGGCTAGATTAAAGGCCCAGTTCCCAGGCCTCCCCTGTTTGCTCCACAAAAACTCAAACTGACTGACTTTTTCAATGTCCAGTTGTCTTCATTGCCCAGAGTGAGTTTAGTGTGTGTGTGTGTGTGTGTGTGTGTGTGTTTGAATGGTTGGTGGTGGTCGGAGGGGGCCAATGGCACATACTGGTTGCCTCGCTTCTGTCAGTGTGCCCCAGGGCAGCTGTGGCTACACTTGTAGTTTATCACCACCGTGTATGGAGTGAAAGAATAATGACATATGAAGTGTTTTTGAGTGTCCAAAAAAGCACCACAATAAAAACGACGTGATGTTATTATTATTGTTACTTTAGCCGATGTTGGATTTAATTATATATATTATTTCATGTCTGGTTTTGAAGGCATCCCTTGCTTGTTACCTGGTGAATTTAGCTGATCACCATGGTAATAGAATGGCATTGAATGGGATGTAATGTCTGTCCAGTGTCCACCACAAGACAAATCAACCAGTGTACTAAGGATGAAAACTTGGACCTTAATCATAAAATGTGGTGTTTTATTTGGGTCCTACAGAGAAAAAAAGAAAAAAACTAGGGATGGAACAACAAAAACTGACATTTTTTTATGCAGTATAGACATAGTTCAATGCTATTTGTTTATTATTTTAGGATAAATAATTGTATCTACTGTGATATTGCACTGTCATATGAGACATAGGCGAATTATTCTCACCCACAGACTGCACATATTTGTAAAACAGCAAGTATTTTTGGTTGAAAACAAGAATCTTGTCAATCAATCAAAGTCAATCATCATTTAGTGTGGAATGCTCATTCAATTCAAATTCAAAATAAATATATCTAATCCGTGACGTGAGGATCTTCATTTGCAGCCATGTTCTTTGCTTTGTCTTTTGCTCAGAACATCACAGTGCGTCCCGGATAAATACAATACCATATCTTTGTTGAGTCTGAAAAAAAAGCAGTTATGAATTGAAACCGCAGGGAAGCATGTGGTGTTAGAATCGAATCCTGACGATGTTATGTTTACAGTGACATATTTGATGAAGACTCTGCGTGTGTGCCTGTGTGAAGCTGGTGAAGACAGCGGCGTGCTTTTTATGTCCATGTGCACATTGACATATTTAAACAAAGCAAACAGCAGGAAGAAGGAACTGCAGCTCATTCCACTTCGACACCTCAGGCGACTGATAAACTGTCCCTCTGTGCACAAGCCAACATGCGCAACCTGCTCCCGTCTGATTTAAGAGACAATTTAATGTAAGTCTACTTTAACATTAAAGCTCAGGACAGGAGAGACGCACAAGCACCACATTTAAAACTGAGAACATGTTTTTCTTGTGGATAATCTCCTTCATCTTTGACCTGAGATTTTCAAAGTCTTTTTTAACCCTTACATCCCTCAGCCCAAAAGGTTGTTGTGTAATATAGAAAATAATGTATTTTTGTATGTCACTTAAAATATTTGTGTGAGTTGATTCCAATGGTTTGCGATCCATGTAAGAATATTAATATCTGGAGTCATAAAGAAGCGTTTATGAACAAATGCATTAGACATGATTTGGAGTTACAGTGTGTTGTTTGTTAAAGACTACACAAAAAAAGATTGATATTGTGAGTAAAAATGAATCGCAAACGTATGTTCATGATTCAAGCAGATGTAACATAACAATAAGTTGTGAAATATGTTTTTCTTAGGCTTCTATAAGTGCTTCTCTTCAGCCTAAACCCCTTTTTTTTTCAAATGATCTGTATTGTCTGAGTTGTGAAAAAAAGTGACTGTACAAAAAAACTAATACGACTACTACTAAAGCAAGTTTAAGAAGATAATTCCCTACTTCAAGAACAAATGGCAATGACGAAGTAAGAAAAAAATATAGTGTTTTTCTTACTAGATTACTCAAGTGGATCATAAATCAAGTATTTATGGTAAAAATTCAAGTCATTTGAAAGCACCCGGATATTATGATTATCTTTCTCTTATTTGCAAACTGTTTCTGGTTTAAACATATAGCTAAATAAAATAAAATCCATAAAGTCCACATGCTTCCATTTCAGCTGAATGTCCCATATCAACAGTCTCCACAATGAGACCTCACCACAGCTCTGAGAAACTCACCAGATGGGACAAAATGCAGCTCCCTCTTTGCCTCCATGTGGTCCATTATGAGCAGAGACACTTCCACAGCTCAACCCATCACCCTCTCACCGTTTCTCACATCTACCACTGTCACACCACCCTGGATCGATCCATGGATCTGGGAGCTACACTACACTGGATCATCTACACTGACCACACACTGAGGGCATGGGCTGCAGCTCCTCCCCAGCACCGGTCACTCCCTGCACAGTCACACTTTTGAGATTAAACTTCCTGGAGAGGCACATGTGCTCTGCAGAGGGAAGTGGGGGAGGTGCTTCTGCTGGGTCCCTGTTCTAGCAACTATAGACTTCAGTCACTCACACCCAGAACTGTGTCTGGCAGAGGTGCCCAATTATTCTCTCTGATTTATTTGGCGGGATCTGGTGACTGTTTAATTTAATTTTGTAAAATATTTGTTGCTAAATTTTATTGACAGAGAGTGGATTGGATTAAAATAAGCGTTGAAAGTGGTTTTGGTTTCTGAAAGGTAAAGAAAACGTATCTAATGGCAACGTGGCAGATGCTTCCTTTGTACAGTGAACAATGAAGACTGATGAACACTGCTGACCTGATCTCACATAAAGTGCAACTGTGCAATAAAGTGCAATAATGTAAGAATCTGGAATATGGGACCACTTATGTCCTCTGTCCCTTTTTGCCCAGAACCTCATGCTGTCAACGTGTTCAGTAGTATCTTCCTCATGCACATACTGTACATATTTCATTGCACCTGAGTACACCGTATGTGTATACTTTTTATTTATACTTTGTTTCTTTTTTAAGCAAAAGATATACTGTATATATAGGAGGTGGCCTTCCCTGCCAGCATCTTGCACCCTGCAGTTATGTGTTGGATTGTCTCAGGTGCCTCTTTGCACAACCGACACCTTGGGTCTTGTCTGGTGTGGTATATCTGGGCCTCTATCGCTCTGGTGCTCAGGGCCTGTTCCTGTGCTGTCCTGTAGGCCAGCCCTTTCTAGCCATTGGTAGGATTTGATAGACTGAGATCAGCCACTTCTGTTATGCTCCGGTGGTACATGCCGTGTAGGGGCTTGTCCTCCCATGATGGGCTCTCCTCCAGCACCTCATCATCAGGTGTGTGTGTTTGTATCTGTATATACAGTGCCTTGCGAAAGTATTCGGCCCCCTTGAACCTTTCAACATTTTGCCACATTTCAGGCTTCAAACATAAAGATATAACATTTTAATTTTTTGTCATGAATCAACAACAAGTGGGACACAATCGTGAAGTGGAATGAAATTTATTGGATAATTTAAACTTTTTTAACAAATAAAAAACTGAAAAGTGGGGCGTGCAATATTATTCGGCCCCTTTACTTTCAGTGCAGCAAACTCAGTCCAGAAGTTCAGTGAGGATCTTTGAATGATCCAATGTTGTCCTAAATGACTGATGATGATAAATAGAATGCACCTGTGTGTAATCAAGTCTCCGTATAAATGCACCTGCTCTTTGATAGTCTCAGGGTTCTGTTTAAAGCGCAGAGAGAACCATGAAGACAAAGGAACACACCAGGCAGGTCCGAGATACTGTTGTGGAGAAGTTTAAAGCCGGATTTGGATACAAAAAGATTTCCCAAGCTTTAAACATCTCAAGGAGCACTGTGCAAGCAGTATCAGACCACTGCAAACCTACCAAGACCCGGTCGTCCCTCCAAACTTTCATCTCAAACAAGGAGAAGACTGATCAGAGATGCAGGCAAGAGGCTCATGATCACTCTGGATGAAATGCAGATAACTACAGCTGAGGTGGGAGAGTCTGTCCATAGGACAACAATCAGTCGTGCACTGCACAAATCTGGCCTTTATGGAAGAGTGGCAAGAAGAAAGCCATTTCTCAAAGATATCCATAAAAAGTCTCATTTAAAGTTTGCCACAAGCCACCTGGGAGACACACCAAACATGTGGAAGAAGGTGCTCTGGTCAGATGAAACCAAAATCAAACTTTTTGGCCACATTACAAAACGATATGTTTGGCGTAAAAGGAACACAGCTCATCATCCTGAACACACCATCCCCACTGTCAAACATGGTGGTGGCAGCATCATGGCTTGGGCCTGCTTTTCTTCAGCAGGGACAGGGAAGATGGCTAAAATTGATGGGAAGATGGATGGAGCCAAATACAGGACCATTCTGGAAGAAAACCTGTTGGAGTCTGCAAAAGACCTGAGACTGGGACGGAGATTTATCTTCCAACAGGACAATGATCCAAAACATAAAGCCAAATCTACAATGGAATGGTTCACAAATAGACGTATCCAGGTGTTACAATGGCCAAGTCAAAGTCCAGACCTGAATCCAATCGAGAATCTGTGGAAAGAGCTGAAGACTGCTGTTCACAAACGCTCTCCATCCAACCTCACTGAGCTCGAGCTGTTTTGCAAGGAAGAATGGGAAAGAATTCCAAAACTGCAAAACTGATAGAGACATGACCCAAGCGACTTGCAGCTGTAATTGCAGCAAAAGGTGGTGCTACAAAGTATTAGCGCAAGGGGGCCAAATAATATTGCACGCCCCACTTTTCAGTTTTGTCTGTCACTGTATACTTAAAGTCTATGGTATACACACACCTTTCGCCCTCCATGGGCGGTTATCCCTCTCTAAGCTCTGGTCTTGTCTAAGCTTTTGTGTGTAAACACGTTTCGTTATTGGTCTAAATCTTCACTTGAGCACATAATATCAGTTGCCAACATTCATTGGGTATTGACTGTTTAAATACAAGTAAAATTGCATAGAAAATTAAATTGGGGCGCATGTAAAATTAATTTAAATGTATCCATACTGGAATAAATTAATTCATACTCATTTGTAAATGAACATTATGATCTCTGTAAACTTGGGTCCATAAGCACCATGTGCTGACATGCTTGGAATCTCACTCCTTGTCAGTGGTGGTGTACTGGGAAACAGAATTATCCAATGCATTTTTGAAGATGGCTTTACGGCTTTGCAAGAAGACCAGTATGTTTTTTTGAAAAGCCTAGTTAAGCCACTATGGACATTTCAATGCACTTGTTCAATGAAAGGGTTTTTTCACATTTTCCACTCGCGGCCATTTTAAAGAAAGCGGTAGGAGGGAAATGTGATGATGACACATACTGTACGTTTCAACGGCAGAGATAGGTGTCACTCCGTCCTTTAATATTTACAGTCTATGGTCCTGACATAGTTTTGTAGTGTCACATAATGGAGCCATTATTGTTAAATATTTCACAGGAACATTGAAGCCAGCGAGCTTAAGGGGCAAAGGCCAGACGAGTTACTGATCTATATTCGGGACGTGTTTGTCACAGCAGATCCTCACATGAGCAACATATGACTGCAAGCTGAGCCTTTATCTTCCTTTACTTATTACTGATGAAAGAATGTCATTAGTTGGTGAAATCATTTTTAGTTTGACCCATAGACTAAGTTTTACTAATCTTGGTTTTGATATTAGGATCAGATAATAATCTAAGACAGGGCCAAGATATCAGGTGTAGCTCAGCAAGGCTTAAATCAGTCAGAATATCAAAATCAACATGGAAGAGCCGTATAAAGATAAAACTGAAAATAAGGGGAAATATGCATATATATATATATATATATATATATATATATATTTTTTTTTTTTTTTTAAATATATTTATCATCTTAAGCACTTAAGCATGGTCCACAAAACTTTGCACGTACACAATTGCCAATGGTTAAGCCGTTATTATAATGCACTGACTACATCTTGTTACTCTGGCAGACATAACAACAATCTATCAAACTCAATATCAATGTTTGTAATGATTAATATAAAAAAATTAATTAATTATACATTTTGGGATATTCTAGGCAAGGCAAGTTTATTTGTATAGCACAATTCATACACAAGGCAACTCAAAGTGTTGAACAAAATAAGAAAGCATTAAAATCATAAATAATCACAGTACATTAAAAAGAAAGATAAAAATATAAAATCCCTCAGTTGTATGCACAGCTAAACAGAACTGTTTTCAACCTTGTCTTAAACATTGTCAGAGAGGAGGCCTGTCTCACATCTTCAGGAAGATTGTTTCAGATTTTAGCAGCATGAATCTGAAAAGCAGCCTCCCCATGTTTAGTTCTGACTCTGGGCACTAACAGGAGTCCAGTCCCTGTGCTCCTCAGAGTCCGGGCTGGTTCATATGGGACTAACATGTCACTGATATATTTTGGTGCGAGGCCATGAAGAGACTTGTACACAAGCAGAGCTGTTTTAAAGTCTATTCTCTGAGCCACAGGAAGCCAGTGCAGAGACCTGAGGACCGGACTAATGTGGTCGTACTTCCTGGTTCTAGTCAGGATATATTCTATCCATTCAGCCAACCTTCCATTTGCTTCAGCTTTATCAGTTCAATTCAATTAATTTTAATTCAATTTAATTCAATTCAATATTTAGCCCTAAATCACACAGTAGTTAAATCAGAGGACTTAACAAAACCGTTGAAATCGCCAACACAGATCAAACACTAAGAATATAAAACACGTATGGGGGATTTGACCAATGTCCATGAGAGTTGATAAAAGAATCCGTTACCAGGATACAAGGGCAGCAGTCTAAATCAGAGGCACCCAGACTTCCTATCTACCCTTCTGCTCACCTGGGGGAATCCCAAAGCATCCCAAGGGCAGCTGAGAGACATAATCCATCCAACGTGTCCTCGGACCACAAGGTCTTCTCCCACTGTTTGGGTTTGTTCTCATTTGTATTTAGTATAGAATCCTATAGTACGGGTCTATGTAAGAAGAAAATTAGCTCTATTCTAGTCATAGAAACACAGGTTTAGATCTCATGATACTGGGAAGACCAAAGATCTTGAGAGGCGTTGGCACTGTGTGTGAATTGTTGGTGAAAAAATCCAGGGCTTTATGACTTTAATTCCTGTCTAAGACGGCATGGATTTCATCTGAATTCCATCGCAGGATGTAATTACTATTTTATGTCTCAGTTTTTATTATTCTTCATGTTACAAGCCTTGTAAAACTTTACAAGCT